TGTAAAAGCTTTCTTAGACTGCAAAACAGCTACACTCTAGTTCTTAATATCAAGCCCCGGTGAAGTTGGACATTAAAAAAATTTTTTTCATGTTTATACTGTTATGGCCATTAAAAAGACCGTAATTGGACATGTTGTATTTCCCAATTCCAAATACAGACAATTGCATTACCTGTTCTAATATCTTCAACAAACAGTTATTCCTTCTAAATCAGTTTTAATTTCTTCTATATTTCATGTTCAGAGTTTAATTGAAAGTAAAGGGTTTATTTTTCCTTCTTTACTAATACTAATATGTAAAATACCTTTTAAAATTTAGAAAATGGATCATCATAAGCATGTTTCTTTGATACAACCTTGGTACCAATAGATACTTAACTATGCTTTCTTCAGATAGTACAGGAAGTCAGACCAATGAGAAGAAATACTTTCTCTTATTTTTTTAAGTTCTTGCATTTCTCTAGATTACTTGTAGCATGCTCCAGCTTCCATGACTTACATAAGACAAGGTTTGATGCAGGACCCTTGATATGGAAATACTTTTTCCTACAGTTGTGGCCCCTTGGTAATTGAATTGTGATATGTTGGTCCCTGACTGGTACCATATTATTGTTGCATCGAAACACATGGCTTCGGTTAGAAGATTAGTCACGCTGGTTTTTTTCTGTATCATTTGATCTTTTGCTAGCTCTGCCTTAATACCCCTAAGCATTTGAAAATGGCTGTGCTAATACTTTGGTATAAGAATGTTCACAAGTAGACCTTTTGGTTATGCTGATTACTGTTGATACCCAGTCATTTGTGTGTCACTATTGGGGATTGGGGAAATGCTTTCTCTTTTCACCTGTATGTTATGGTTTTTATTTTGTTGTGAGGTTATCCCTAATTCTGTATAATGAGAGCTCAGCACCAAATTTCTTTTTATAGTGTTGGATAGTAAAGCACCAAAATCTGAAGATATTGATGAAGAAGATGATGATGTCCCAGGTAGGCACATGTACACTTATATGTCCATTTAATGTATAAATCTTTCAATTAATGCATTTAAATATTTAGCTCTTGATGTGATTATACTTCTCACTTGCTAAGGGAGGCTTCATATACTGGGCAGCATAAAAACATTGACTTTGGATTCTAGCTTTTGCAAAAAGTTTACCTTGTGCAAATTGCTTAATTCTTAAGTGAAAATAGATTAAAATACTTTCAGGGAGGTCGAACAGGTGATCTAAATGTCCAAATAGGGTTTTAGGGCTGCAAAATGACATGACTGACATAGTCATCAGGTTGTCTTTAAGTCAGTCTGGGGTGGGGATTTTTATTTCTGTAGTAGAAGAAACAAAGCTTATGTCAGTGTCTGAAAGTTTCTCAATAAATAAATATTGTAAGTTTTTAACTTGTCAATAACTGTCTATCAATCATCACATTCTTCTGTATGCATCAGTATGGTGTGTTAGCTAAAACAACAAACGGGTGGACCCGGAGGTTCAATTCCTCATGCTCTGACACTGGTTTATTTCTTTGTGACCTTGCATAAAAATTCACTTCTTTCCAAAATGTTGTTTCCTGGAGTACAACAGTTAATAGGTGCCTAACTTCAGGCATTCTTTAAAGAATGCTGATTGTTCAAGACTCAACTGCAGCTAGTAGAGCACCTCTGAAAATCAGATCTTAATCACTTCATGTTAGAACTTCCAGTCTTCTTACTGTTCCTGCGTTTCTAGTTCTTTGTGTATGTTCAAACAAACCCTATTTTCTAAAGCCCTTTGAAATCTGCCTATAATAAGTGGTGTACGTGAGTCTAGTTAAGAACTGCTTAACTTGTCCTATAATATATGCATTTTCATTAAACTTACGAAGGTAATGTTACCGGGCATTACTGTATTAAATGTTTTCATCTCTTTCAGATCTCGTAGAAAACTTTGATGAAGCATCAAAGAATGAAGCTAACTAAATCATTAATAGTTCTGGAAGCTGGCATGGACTAGATTTAAGAAATCAGCTATGTGGTTCCAAAGTTTTAAAGAAACAGAGAACATCATCTGTTAATAGTTCAGTAATATAAATATTTTGTATTTTTATGATGCTGTTTGTTCAGCATTTTCTGTCAGTTGATTTTGCATTTTGCACTTACTCCCAGGATCTACTCTTTTGGTCAAAAAGAAATGTCAGTGCAGTTTGAGGGTGTGTGCATGTGCGTGTGTGTATGTGTGTGGGTGTACATATAGTGGAGAACAAATTGGAGAACACTTATTTAACCTCTTCCCCTTTTCCTTTGGAAGTAGAAATAAAGTGAATCTTCAGCATTGTTACTTTTTTATTATCACCAAATAGTGCACAGAAGGTAGTCAGTCTTAAAATTTTGTCCACGTTTTGTGAGCTGGAGGCATTACACCATTAAAACTTGGGTTTAATTTGCTCTTAACTAGTGTATTTGCAGATGTTTCTCATCCCTGTTGAAATATACACAGGTAATTGTTATCGACCTTATGTTGATCCCAGATGGTACCGAAGATGAGCTGTTTTACCAGCTTGTTTGGTACAGTAACTTTTTAAAAAAGAAAACTTGGTCTCAGAAAAGTGCTTTTTTTTAACCTTTCTCAACTTTTTCTTTTTTTCTTGTCTCTCTAACCTTTTGAGACAAGCTGATGTTTGACTCCTTCCATGTAGGCTTAGCAGTATGTTCTCCTGTTGATTACATAGAGTATTTCCCATGTCAAAAGGAAAACAAACACCTTGGTTCTCTACCATCAGGTCACTTCCTGAACTTGGAGGTCTAGTTGGTAACAGTCCAGTGCGCCAGTTTTGCACAGTAACAGATTTTTGCTTGAATAACTTCAAGCTGCTCTCTTGGCATGACTGCATTTACTAGCAGCTGATGATCCACTGTCATTCTCATGGCACTAGGAATTAAATGCACTGTGTGAGCGATGTTTAAGGTGGGAGGAAAGAGTTGTTGACATTTTGCCTTGCCTCCTGCTGGGCAGTATGTGCAATGACTAGCTCTAAAGGGATATTTTTTTCTTGCCTGTAACTTACCTTTGCCTATAACCTACCTCTAGGTTTGGTGTCATCTATGTAGTAGCTTCTTAAAAACCACAAATGCTCCTCAGGCATCAGGAGGACATTGGGAGGTACTGTTGGTACAGTGCAGTATTTATGACCTTTCTTTAAAATGCTTAATGTGAACCCATTTTCTCAGAGGCTCTTTCAAGGTTCTTGATGTAATGTGCATTATGGTATAGTTAGACATCACTGTAACCTGTGTCAAGGGCAGCTGTGGCTTAAGAAAGCCATTTTTTCCTCTACATCTGTCATTAACTATGGCTTAATTGGAACATATCAGCTTTTTATGTAGGTTCATATGCTAGAGAACTGTAAAAGTACAAGGTAAACAGTACATGAGTTCTGGTGACATCATCATAAACCCACGAAAGCAGAGCTGTAGTGGTTCATCATCTGAACTCCTCCATTTATTTTATAGGCTTTGTTCAGTTTTTCCTGTTATATTTTATATACTACGTGGATCTTACTACAAAATAAAATAACAGTACAAAAGAGGAAATGCTCCCTCTTGTGTGTTGTCTCCTCCTCCCACCAGCACTAGCTGAGGAATGACAGGTGGATGCAGCAGCTGTTTCAAACAGCACTGCATCCTTACTAACAGTGGTTAAGGAAGATACATGCAGGACTAGGGAGGATCCTATTAGAGCTTTAGGATTTCACACTCCCATATACCCACTCTCCTGTTTTCCCTGCAGTGTTGAATGAAACTTTGGTTTGTTGTATGGCTAATCTTAAATCAGCTGCAGATGCATTTTTTCTGTTTATAAGGAAGAGATGTCTTCATTAACGTGTGTACGGGCACACTGAATTGCCTTTTGCTGCCCCTGCAAGCTCAAAGAGCAAATGAAGGATACTAGGAAACAGGCATTTGTAGTGTTCTTCCATTTGCTTAAGGGGCATGAGTGAAGAACGTTTCAAAGTAGCAACTGTCCTGAGTTTATGTATGGGACATCCGCTCCCCCTAAATACCAGTCAGATACTGAAAATTCATGCTCATTGGTTTCTGATGTCGGAAGTATGTCAAAAGTAATTTTATGAGAGATTAAGCATTGGAAACAATGATACCCTAAGTTTATATAGTTGAACTTTCTGACTCCTACAAAATACTCATTTAACTTTTGCTCTTGGTCATGACAATTTGCGTGTTAAACCCTCACTTTTTCCTATGTTTGACAACCAGTAAACTAACTAAATATGCTAGCTTATGTAGTTATATTATCTTCAGTTTTCTCACTGTATCTGGGAACAGTCAACCACTTATGATTTGCTGCTGGAATACTAGAGCTTATCAATCATTAAACTGATTTTAATTAAAAAGTAACCCATCGAAGCTGTTGTGGGAAAAGCTCTTTTTCTTCGTATTTATTCATGGTATAACTCAAAGAGCGTTTGTACATGCTGATGGAAATGCAAAGTTACTAAAAGTTTTGGGGAGTGTTGGTACAACAAAAACTCCCCACGTGAGGGTGAACATTACAATGTTCTTTGCTTGGCTTGAAGCACAATAACCACTGTGTTTCTGAAGCTCTTGAACTTACTTGCTCACTATTTAAATACTGTTGACACACTAAAGATACTGGTAAAGATACGTGTTAAAGAACTTGGCAGTGATTTGAAAGTAGGAAGATAGAGCAGAAAGTAAGTTGAAACATCTCTTGGATTGTATGTGAGAGAATCGAAGCTGAATCAGTGAAGACCAAAGAATCAAGAACTTGGCATAAGTGTAAGATGGCAAATGCTAGTCTTCCTGCCCTGACTGCTAGTAGATTTCTGTAGTACCCTAGTTTATGGATGGGAGACCTGTGACTGGCTGGCTTCTCTCAGGCAGGAGAGCAAGTCTGTAAAAACCTGCAATTGCGGTGCGTTTGCTCGGGGCGGGGGGGGGGAAGTCATGTATGATGGATGGCAGAGATTACAGTACAGTCTGATGCTGGAGACTTGGTACTGAGTGCTGGTAAGGGATTTCTTGTGCAGCACGTGGTGACAAAATAAGTCTGCAGCTAAGAGTGTTGCTAGGGTGGAAGGAGTTGATATAAAAACATTTAACATACAATACAGATCTTCGAAAAAAAAGTAGGGTTCGGGTGAATTTTTTCTTTTTAACTTATGTAGGAATATTGAAGAGTGCACAAGAATGATAAGGATGAATTTAGAACTGCTACTCAAGTTTTACTGAAATATGTTGATAATTCACTAGTATTTGTCAACTTTCCATGGGAACTAGGAGTTGCTATGAACTCCCTTCTGCCAGGATCTTCACAAATAATGTTTTGGATTTGGTATGTACAAAATGAGCACTGGAGGGCTTACAGATGATTTAATTACTGAGCAGTGTATTGATTGAGCAGTGTATTGCTGTTAAGAGGAAGGAACTGAGGAAGTTATAACACATAGTAAATCTGTGCTATATGCAAGAGATGAATTCATGCCTCTACTGAGGAATGACCCAGGAAGGATTTCCCTAAATTTCCCTGGAATCAGACTGCGCTGCCCCAGACAGTAGGGATGTACAGAGGGGCTGAGCAAACTGCCCCATAGGTGAAGGTGAGTGAGTGAATTCTTCCACTGGCTCTTAAGATTAGTCTCCTCTTATTATTTTAAGACGGTGGTGGTTTGTTGAGCAAAGTGAACAGACAGCTTGTTCTCAAGATCAAGATTAATTAATTGATGCATGTTTTGTACTTGAGCAAATGAAGTGATGCAGAACAGAAGCCCATCACAACACTAGCCATAGGAACTTTACGGAAGTGACAGTAGAAGTACAGGGAATGGTTATTCACGTTCAACTGTTTGCTTTCCCATCAAGTAATTTTTATTTTTTTTATTCCCCCTGCTTTTTCAAAGACCAGTTTGCAGACACTGAAGAACTTCATGGATTTATTCAGAAACATGGGGGCCGCAGTGCCAATCAAGGATTCAGGCAGCCAAGCAGAGCAAGCGAAGAGACTAATTCTAAAATCGGTGGTCTCGGTATGTTTGGGTGGAAGCTTGGGTTGATATTTAGAGCAGGATTATTGGGAACTGGGCTTTAATTTCAGACTCTGGCATTGTGTATTTGGCAAGAAAAAACAAACTCTTACATCTTCCAGTGCCTTGGTTTGCCTCTATTTCAGGAGTACTGCTCTAACTCCTGTAAGTATGTGGTATGTAAATTAATGAACACCTGGATGCTTCTTGAGAGGAAAGAGCTACATCTGTGCAAATGGTATAAAAAGTTACTTTACTTCCACGTGATAAACACATACTATTTGGTGGGCTGTCAGTACTGTTAAACACCCTTTCACTAAACAACAGACCCACAGCTTGCTCAGACGCAATTTTTTCTGGTATCTGTCAGATTCTCAAATATGAGGTGGCATTTCCTTGAACTTTGCATTGCAGATGGATTTTGCAACTATGCTGAATTAGTTGCCTCCTTGGAGTAAAAGGAGATTATCTGCTCGTTTGAGGTCTTGAAGTTGTTTCTGATACTTTATCAAAAGTATCAATGCTAAGGCAAACATTGAAACAAAAAATTACGTTCCAAAGCTTTTTGACCTTTCAGTGCACATATCCCAGCTGAATAAAAGGAGTTATGCAACCTCTTGCCCTTTCTTGCAACATCCTTGCGGCAGCTATAGTAACTGCTTATGTCAAAAAGTAATATTAGAAAGTATTTAATGTGTTTTTAGATTCTGTCTAATGCAACTTAGCTGACAAAGAAGAGCCAATGCCGTGTGACCAGCTCTCTACAGACATTGGGAAATGTGGCGCAAACTACATTTTGAGAACGTCAGATCTGATTTTGAGGCCATGTGTGAAGCTGGAAATTTCCAAGCAATGCAAATTATTGCCAGACATAGGTAAGTGAAGACTTAAAATCTCAACACATTGTCAGCGGGATACCAGACCTTTGCACACCGAGAGTGAAGTTCCCTGAAAGGCCTTCACCAATCTTAGGCTTCCCTGCCACCAAGGGAGAAAGTCTTCCCTTTCTGTTGCTTTCCCAAGCGCCAGCAGTAGTAGCTGATGTCTGAGGTCAACTGGATCAGCTTGTTCAACTGGTTGTAGATGGACTTTTTTTAAAGTTAGTTTTCAGCTTGCCTTATGGTGAAGTCTGACCACGCAGTTGTGCATAGTAGTACTGGCACATGCTAAAAGCTCCACCTGACAGCTTGCTTTGGTTGACTTAGCCAGCTTGTGAAACTGCATCCTGAGCTGTGGTGGCAGTATTTGAACCTGCAGGTCCCACAGTGCATTCTGTGTAAGTGGGTGCCTGCAGAGGAAGCTGTAGCTTTGGGGCCCATGTCAGTTGTTTCCTTACCACCTGCTAGCTAGCCTTAAATTTCTGTGAAATAAATGGTAACCTTTCAAAAGGAAAGCATTTGCATGCAGTACTTTTGGGCAGGCTTGGTAGAGATGACGATCACTGCTAACACCTTGCAGACCAAGGTAGCCTTTTAATGCTACTGCTGCTTGCTCTGCTTCTGAGACTTGTCTTGGCAAGACGGTATGGGGGAACTCCCAGTGCTGCTGCCAGGGTCATACTGAGTTTGGGAAGAAGGGAAGGATTTGCCATATTGATGCCTTGGGTGAGCGATCTGGTCAGATACTGTAACTTGCAGTTTATTTTTAAACTTTTAATTGTGAAATAGGGGTTCAGTACAGTTCACTATGCCTTGTGATGCAAAGGCATTATCTGCATCGTGGGCTGATAAGCTGCAGCATGTGACGCCAGTGTGCTGTTACTGCAGCCACACTCCAACCCAGCCATCCCACTGCTCTGCAGCTGCACAGCACCCGAACACAGCCTTCTCCTTGAGCCCATTTTGCCTGTCTCTTTTTAGACAGCAAACTGATTTTCTGGGGCAAGCTGTTGAAGTTTTGATTCACACTGCAGGTTCTTGTTCACTGAAAATCTCAGTAAATAACTTACAAAGTGAACTTTAATAAGGAATTCCCATTTTTGCGACAAGCTCTGGTTTCTGACACATGGTGTTTAACTGAAAATAGCTGTAACTTGCTTACAGCATTTTTTACAGTCTCCGGGGAGTAATGATGCAACTGAAGTTTCTTCTCTGTTCATTTTGAAACATTTGCTCTATTGCTGGAGACTTTTTGGTCTGCTCTGTGTTGAGTGGCAGCTGTAATTAGCGATGGCTTGCATTTTTGCATGTTTCCGAAAGAAAGCAAATAGATCCTAAAGTAATTTTTACTTTGAATAAGGACTTCTTCCCATGTCTGTCTTAAGTTTCCCACAGCCTGCTTCGTCAGCTTGACTGAAACACACCAGGTTTTCTCATAATCTCCTGCTGGATATTTGAGTGTTTTGCTGAGATTTCCATTTTGACACAAAAGCGATGTCAGTTTTCTGAAAAACAGGGAACGTGTTAAATTTTCTAGTCTTTTCTACATCACCTTTCTCTCAGCTGCATGATTTCTGTGTTGTTGTAAATTATTAACTTTTAAACACAGAGATATTATTACCTCTATCTCTTCTCCTGCTCTTTGAGCTGCGGAGTTGCTTTCATTGGCAGCGTGCACTGAAAAATCATGTTGGCCGCTTTCAGCCCTGAAATTGTAATAGTTTATCCCATTACATGGTGATTTTCCAGCTCAGTTCTCCTGAGGACCTTGAAATGGGTTTTCCATAAAAATATTCCATCCGCTCTTTTTCTTTTAAAGGCTATAGTCAAATTGAAGGGACAACCTAGCTATTGTTTCTAGTGGTATGTGTGTTCTGACGATTTTGTTAAGTTATAGAGGATTTTTATAGTGCGGTCTGGGTCACTGAGAACTTGGTGACTTCTTTGAACAGGATTGCTTTTTCTTTGGGAACAAGCAGAAATACATCATTAGCATCTTAACTGGTGGAAACTCTTCCATGAAAAATGCATACACTTTTTATGGTTTTAATCTGCACAAGCACTCCATGAGTTTGCAGTAAGCTGTAATAAAGGCTTAAATGTCTTATACCACACTTCCTCAATGGCTCACAGTACCATCATCAGGAACGTATACCAAGTGCATCTTCCTTTCTGACTGCTAGTTTTGTCATCTCCCTTTCCCTATAGCTGTTGTGAATATTGTCTGAGAAATAGAGCTGTTGAATTTGGGCTGCCTGACATCACAGTATGCTAATACTTTCAAACTGCTTGGGCCCTCAGGTTCATTATGGTTTGGGATGGCCAGCATTTGTCAGGAAAGAACAAATGAACGAGTAGCTATTCAGAACAAGACTTCACTTGCATTGAATAAACATGATGAGCAATTCTTTTTATTGTTAGTTTCTCTGCTGAGACATTAATCTGTGTTAAAATTTGTATGAGATGTGCTTTGGTTCAATTTTTGCCCTTCTGTGTTAACTCTTAAATAAGCCAAGATGAGAGAGGTGATTAAATACTTGTCCTTAATTAGTCTTACCCTTATAAGCAGTCCCATGAAAAATTGCTGTGGGGAGGTATTACATGCATTTTCTACTTGCACAATAAAAAGTAACAGTTGTTACTACCATAGTTAAGTAATCCTGTTAAATCAAAAATATCTGAAGGTTTTATACTCAGAAGGTCTCTTTGATTTGGTAAAAGCAAGATAAAGGATAGATGTCAAAGATGCCTAAGAGCTTTTTTTTTTTTTTTTTTTTTTGCTTCCCCCCCTGTTCAAGAAAGCAGCTCCCTGCTGTATGTACTATTATTTACTGTGCCCTTTCCTATTGTGCTTCATCCTGTATCATAGTCCAAATTGTTTTGCAGTGGGGTACCAGCCTTTTTTAGCAAACTCAAGACATTCAGCTGACTGTCTTCTGAGTTACAAACCTGAACAACTTAACAGACATCTCTCACTGAGATGTTGAGGAAATAGCTGGTCAGGGCTTCCCAAGTGCTCTGACTTGCAGCACTCCACAAAATCTCAATCATGTGATTTAGCAAGGCATAAATAAGCCTGTTTTTTTTTTAATAGGCTTAATTACACCCAGTGAAGCAATGTCCTTTTGCTTGAGCAGGGAGTTGCCAGACTGCTGTGAAGTCAAAACATTGCTAGGAGAACAGGAAGGTTCAAGCAGAGCCATCAAGTTCATAGGACAAGCAGAAGGAGCGTCCTGCTCCCTGACATGCTCATGACCCTGTTCCTTCTACACATGTACACTTCCATGGGATTTAGTGGTGGGGTTTGTCTGTGACGGTAAGACTGAATGATTCCCTGTTTGCCATCACTGCTGACTTAATAAATGGCATGATCAAGATGAGTGTGTGTCTGGCTTTTTTTTTCCCCCCTCATGTGTACTAGTGAAAGAGAAATGAACTGATGGGCAAGAGGGCACAATCTGCCTGGAATAATTAGTGCCTTGTATTCAGCAAGCAGATCTTTACATAACACCAGTGATGTTATTTCTTCTTTCACTTAATTTTTCTGTGATTTAGTGTCTATATGTCAATGCCTGCGGGATTCCAGACTCATCCAGTCCATGTTCAACACCACACCTGGCAAATAGGAATTTTAGGTATGTTTTCGTGAATAAGGAGGCTAGCACAGGCTGATACCCAAAGCATTCGCTGAGCCAGTGCAGCTGCCACTGATGGGCTATTTTCCACCATTAGTGGAAATGGGTGTAGCCAATGCCATTCCAGTCAGTGTTGGGCTAATGCTTGAATCTCAAGGATTGTCTGTTGAACACTGAAGGTAGTGCTCAAGGGAGAACGCAGTGTGCAATTAATGTTGCATCATCATATTGTGTAATGGGTCTTGCTGGATACTAACTCCTTGTTATACTGTTTTCTGTAAAAACAGAGAATAAAAGATGGCCCTTTCCCGGTACAGCTTATAATTTAAGGTATAGTCCGATTAGTGACAATTGGTTTTCAGTAATTGTAAATGGCAGTAAAATGCATTTACAGGGCTCGGGAATTCTTCCTTACAGAAACAGCAATAGTGTCCTAACACAAGAGGAGACTGCTAACAGGATCCATCCAACACACATTCCCTTTGAAATAGACATAAAATTGTTGAATAATTACCATTTTGTGAAAATTGCTTTGAGATATTTCTCATCCTGGCAAAGTGAACCATTCTTGTTTTACTGGTCAGCTTTCACTTCCATGGCCTGTTATACTAAATGGCATTTTTACTGAGCTCAAGTATTTTCTTGATCGAAGTCTTTAGTAATAAAGAGCACTTTGAACTTAGCTTAGGAAGCTTATTCATTTCTTTCTAGTAGTTGAAGTCCTTTGCCTATTTTTACAGGCCTAAACCTCCTAAACTCCTGTCTTCCACACCTAAATTATCTTGAAATTCAGTCTCTTCTTTTCCAACCCCTAATTTGTTAATCACCTGGACACTGCTGCAGTCAAGAAGCTATGAGCCTGCCACAATTCTGCTGAATTCTTAGATTGCTTTCTTGTAGCCTTACCCATTTTTTATTCAAGCACTCTCCCTGGGGTATGCATTGCCATGTTTCCACACCACATAAAGTTCTGGCTCGGTTTTAGCTTGTTCCCTTATTCAGCCATGAGATAGGATTTTCTTCATCATTATTATTAAGATGCTCAGCTTTTTGCAAACTATAGAGGGAGATGTTTGCTCATCAGTTTTTTTTCAGTGTTAAGCACTCATTCTCCTTGGGGAAAAAAGCAAAAACTTTTCTTTCTGGCTGTCCGACAAAAGGACCACCTCATTACCAAAGAGAGAATGAGGGAGAGGGACTGCACTGTTTTTATTTTGGTTTCAAGATGTTTGGCTTAATTCTGCATTTGGGCACTGTTCTTACTCTTTGATGGTTGGTTCAGGCATGAGTTTTCTATCCAGTCTGCTTTCCACTGTATTCTTCTTTGGCTTTGCTACAATTTATATCAAACTGTTATCTTACATAATTTATACAGAATAATTTATTTAGAAAGACTGTCCTGTAAAGAGAATAAGGGATTTGGTGCTAGGTATAATAAATGGGTAAAACAATTCCATCATTTTACAAGTTTATTCAAACATCACTCTATCTACAGAGATTTTCTCTAGTGTCATATGTGTTACTTGAGAATCAGTGCAGGTGATTTATTTCTGAAGAAAAAAACCAACCTTTTTCTAAGCCTTTTCCTGCTTTACATTTGCCTGTATTGTAGCAGTTTGGAGGGAAGGTGTCAGTGCTGGAGCCAGGCCATGTGCATAGCTGCACAGACCACAGTCACTTAAGGCTCCTTTTTTATAACTCTTCTAAAATTATATCAATTTCAGAAAAATAGTTTTGAACACAAAAAAAATCATCATGTGAATATGATCTTCAGAGAGCAAATTAAATGGGTTATAGCTGTCTTCCCTAGTGAATTTATGGTGTGGGGAATTTCATGTCAGTTCAGCTGACTGTCTCATTTTTCAAAGCGTTTCACTATGGATTTTACATTTTCAGTTAAGCTGTTGCTATTTAAAAATATGACTTCCATGTCATTTGCAAAGCATGTAGAAGCTGGAGGCAATTCAGCATTTTGACACTTTTAATTAACTGACGGCCTGTCATGAAAGTAGGTTGTAATTAAATGATATGGTAATTTTGGCCATGCTGCTTTTCAAAGTATTTTTATATCCCAGCATAATAATTCAGGTGGTGACATCATGTCAGTATATGTGCTTCTCCTTCCTCAATGCCTACTCAAGAATTGTTGCTCATGGTTCAAAATAGCTTTAAGAAAATAGATTCCAACCAGTTCTTGGTGAAAGAGGAAACAAATTTAAAAAATTTCCTGTTACAGACTGCGGCCTGTCATCCTGTTGGGGTCTGTGAAGATGATGTGTAACATGTGACAACCTACACGTCCTGTAGGAGATATTCACACATTCAGAGATCTGCAGGGTTTCTAGGGCAATCCAGTTGGGTTGGTGAAAAACGACTGGAGAAAACAAAGGTAATTTTGATGGCTACAGAGCCTGTGCTGTGTTTGCTCTGGGATATTGCTAATGATTTGAGTAAGTTTGGGTTTGGATTTGGCCCGATATATTTTTGATTAATGAAGATTATTCTGTCTTCAGCTAGAGGGGTGGGTGTTGAAATGGGAGTGCTTTTACTGGGTAAGCAAACATAGTTTTACGGAGGTATTCTAGGATGGACGTGACCCTAACACAGCCTGACAGTGTTACTGTTTAGGAATGAGTGGGATTTGCCAGAAGCTGGTAATACCCACTGCATTTTGAGCCAGGTTCTTTTGATACCCATTTTCTGATGTGCTGCTCTGGGGAAATCTGCCATCTATTCATCGCTTCAGTCCTTTAGTAACATCCCTTTTGCCAGGAACATCATAATGCTGAATGCCATGAGTGAGACGTTACTATGAATATGCTGAATTTCCTTGCTTGGTGTGTGATGAAACGATCTTTGGGGAATAAGTGAAACAAAAGCACGTGTAGGATATCCTTTAATTCAATGAAGAATGTGGGTGGAGAAGCAATTGAAATGAACAAGATGCTTTGGATTTTCATTAATGCCTTGAATACTTCAGGGTGTACTTAAACAAATCCTTGTGTGCGTGTGTGTGTGAACAGTTTCACCGCTCAAAGAACTAATGAAAGCAGGAGGAGCCCATGTTTTTTAACCATTTCCTTCTCTACCTGCCCTCCATCGCACCTTTCCCCTGAGATACGGGCACTGTATTCCCTGTGGCAGTTCTGATAGGGGAGAAATAACCATACAAAGAAGTCTAGACCTACATGTGGCTGACTGAGAAGCCACCTGCTGCTAAAAGCTACTACGGTGGCTGCCTTCCCTCTGCTGTGCTCTCAGTAGTGGCAGTCATTTGTGACTTTCTCCTATAGCAGTCACCAGTTGCCTTTTTCAAGTGTGGTTGAACTTGAGCAACATATTCCTAAATTGTTCAAAGGGAAAGGAAGATGTACCTGCATCTGCAGCACAGATGTGTGAGCCTTTCTTCTTTAAAAGACTTAGCTTAAAATAATAGTATGCACAAAGGATGGTGGTTTTGATGCCCACCGCACCCACTGTCATTAAGAAGTAGAGTGGAAAAGATCAGCGTGACAACAGCAGATAACCCAAGACAGTGTTGCAAAAGTGGTGCCTGCTGGATTCCTTCAAGAATAAAATCTCTTTTGCTGGAGTTTGACTCTATCATGCATTGAATGATTTAATTACAAAAAAATCATGAACCAGAGCTTGAGAGTCATGTATGTCCATGCATAGCATCTATTCATTTATCTCCAGCACAACAAAGAAGGGAAATGCTTAAGATAACAATGAGCCAACTACATCTACCACTTCCTTTCAAGTAAGTTTCAGTTCTTTTCCTTTTGAAAGAAAACCCAGCTCTTCCTTTGAATCCAGAAAGACCTAAAGGATAAATTCATATATACATATTAGATCAAGCCCTTCACATAAACGTTGAAAGAAAAAAAGATATTCTAGATAAAGGTTTATACTTCTGTTTCCTTACATCCTCAAAAAAACCCCTCAAACAACAAACCCAGACATACTGGAAATATGTAACTGCATGTTCATGGACATGTCGACAACTCTACACTTGGACTGAAGACTTTTTCTGAAACATATTTCCTACCTCAACCAGAAGCTATGAGCTTCATGCAAGATGTGTGCTTTCACTGCTCCTGCTGTCCCTCATCCTCTGCCTTCCTATGCCCAAGGACTCACTGGGCTCCTTCCCTCTGTGTCCTCCCTTCTCCTCCCGAGACTGGCAGCTTTCTCTCTCCTCCCTCCGGTTCACAGGCCTGCATATCTGAAGGAATTGGTGATGGAGGAAGGTATTGAGAAAAAATTACATTGTAGCACTCCCTCTCAGGGCCCCAGTGCTCCACACTAATGTCTGTAAGGCACACGGAGGTGGGATGCATCACTGGTGCTGCTCTTACAGCATATGCTACACAAGAAGTCAGAAGTAGTAGTTAATGTTTTCCTTGTCTGTGTTCCCACCTTGGTCTTCGATTTATATTTTGGTGCCTTTCACATAATCACAAAATGGTTGAGATGGGAAGTGATCTCTGGAGGTCTCTAACGTGCTGCTCAAGCAGGGTCAGCTAGAGCAGGTTGCCCAGGACCATGTTCAGTAGGGTTTTGAATATGTCCAAGGGTGGAGCCTCCACAACCTCTATGGGCAACATGTGACAGTGTTTGGCCACCCTCACAGTAGAGATTTTTTTTCTTACGTTTAAGGTGAATTTCCAGAATGTTAAATGTTTTTGACAAAAGCAAGTTAAAGCTGTCTAGGGCTGTTCCAGAAGGATGTGTTAACTTT